GTGTTGGGTTTTTCTGTATTTTTTATTATTATTTTTTTTTCAATCGATCGCCACGGCATGTATTTGTGCTGACCTGGCTCAGGAGGTAACGCGATTTTCACGGTGTTCGCGTTTGCCTATGGACATGCTTGTAGCGGGCTAGGTCGCAGTTATATATGAAAAATAAACAAGTTCAGGGAACAAAAGAGATTCGTATCCTTTTGTTGAGCTTAGTAAACGAGAAAAAGCGGGGGTCAGGACGCTGCCCTCAGCAGAATATTGTCTCACGGAGTGCAGCAATGTCTCACCGCATGATGGTGGAGGGGGAGGCACATGATCAGGAAACCCATGATAGGGGCACTTCTTTTTTTTGTGTGTCTGTGGAATTTTTCGTAGCGTTGTACTGCAAATGATGCCTTTCTGGGCTAGAAACGGCGCCCTAGACGGGACGAAAGGATAAACGAGGCACACAGACACAGCGTTGAGTCAGTTTTGTACCGAAAGAGATGGAAAATGTCGTCGTGTTTTAGAAAAACAGAAATAATCTTTCCGGTTACAGAACACTTCGGCGTCATCACCACTGGGGCTATTAATACGCATGTGTGTGTAGTCGACACAACCTGTAACGCCAGGGAACTCAGCCACTTCATAACAGTCCAGCATATTTGTAGGAAGTGCCGCCGGCTGCAGAAAGCGCACGAGCATCACGTACAGGTGCTTTGTGATGAGTAGCGTAACTTTTCCGACTGCATGGTACACTGTCGACTACGGAATGCGGACGAGATTCCCGGTGACTGTTCGGAATGTGCCAGCGCCTTAAAACCTGAGAGCCATCAGTAGCTAAAACCTGAGAGCCATTGGTAGCTGTAACACTAGAGGCACAGGTTGTCTTCGGTTGTCCCCACTTTCACGGAGCGGCAACATAGCCAGCAGCTGCCGCATGGCGTTCTTCGTTGATCTGTACCGAGCGTGGAATTGTTGCTCGTCGTACAACTCCATTGGGTTTCTTCGGTCACGCAAAGCGGGTCGAGGAATCTTCGGCAGGCAGTGTGCCTCAGAAAATTCTACGCTTAGGGTGAGGGAAGCAAACTCAAAAGTGGCCACCCTCCGTGCGACTTCCGTTCGAGAGGTGGCCATGTTGGAATCACGCATGAAGTCGCTTTCAAGCTAGCCCCGCTGCTGACTTGAAACTTGTCCTGACTTCGACAGAGCCAAGTCGCCTTCAAGTCGTCCTCAAGTTCGAGAACGATTTATGGCGACGGGTAAGACTGTCTTGAGTCAAGTACGAGTCAACATCTCTGCATTCTGGGGTTAGATTTACAGATGCATTCGTAACCAATGTCCATTGACATTGTCGACAAGTAGAATTTGAGGTTCCAATTTTTGAAGAGTACTGTAGAAAGTATAGTCGGCATTTAATAAAATAAGACCCATTCAAACAACAGTGTGCGCGTTACTGACACCATATGTGTAATGACAATAACTGTGTAACCTGCATTGACACTAGTTGGAATAGTACTTAAAATGAAAAAAGAAAAGCAGGACATGAAAGCCTGGGAATATACGCACCATCTAGTGCTCCCTTACAAATGAAAGTTACACGCGTAAAAAATAAAATCTACAAAAATACGGGTGCAGCGTGCGTGTTATAAACACGCATAAAAAGTCAAACAATGGTATAATTACAGTCTTATTAATAGTCAAATTACTTGTCTTGTAAGAACCGCGAAGGCCAACTTGCACAAAGTGCAGAGTTATTTGTGACATGATATGCTTCCGCAATTTCTCAATTTGTCTGATTAGATTGATGGTACAAAACTGCTGTGCTTTCGAAGACTGAATCGCATTTGCATGATTGACATATAGCGGGGCGAGATAAGACAACTCCATTAAATGAATTCCGAGGCTCGCTAGTGCACGTGTTAACACACATCAACCAGTGTAGCTGATGGGGGACGAAAGAGATAAAGAAATTTGTGTTTACCTGCTACACATTAACTGACAAAACAACTGACATGACTGATTGAATTTTCGTTGGGTTACAGCAGACTAGTAATACTAATATCTGGCATTCCAATGTCTCAAATCATAGTTGGGGGCTCTGGACCATCTGGTGTTCTTTAATATGCACTGACATCGCACAGTACACTAGCTATTACCATATCGCCGCCACCGAAATGCGACTGCCATGGCATGGCTCGAACACGCGACCTTCGGGTCAGCAGCAGAGCACCGTTGCCACTGTTGCACCGCGGTAGACCTCACTTCTGACCCTTGCGATCTCTTGTGCACAAGGGAACAAATGCGACTAATCTCATTTGTAGTGGCGACCCCCCCCCCACCCCCCCCACTTCTTTATTCACGGGTCAAGTACGCCAATATTTATCTTTCTTTGTCATGTGAACCAATTTTCGCAAACCGATGCAAGAATATGCAGCATTCCGGCCTTTAAGGCGATTGATTTGCAGCTGAAAACCACTAATCTCATGTGAGCAAGTTTTTTTTTTTTTTTCCCTGATGCAATGCTTAGCATGACATCACAATTCCTTATGTAAAAATATTTGAATGATGCACCGACGCATGATTAAAACACCGCTTTCGGTGAACCCACAGTGAAACTTAAAAGCATGTACCAAGAAACTGCAAATTGTCAGAGCAAAGAACCTCACAAATGAATCTTAGTCCTATTCCTTTTTGTTTAGAATGTGCTCACTTCTTTGTAAAGCTCGTGACTTGTGAAATAAAATAATAATCTCTGTACTTGAATACTGAAAAACCTCTCTGCAGTTTGGCTACACTCCATCACGGACAGTTAATTGTTCAACTTAGTAACAAGTAATCATAGAATAATTATGAATTCAATGTTCCAGCTGCCATTGCTCACGATGACACGTTTTGACTGCTTGTATCGGCACGTCATCATTTATTCGCATGCCGCTTAACTGCTACAACCTGTATACGTCCACTTGGTTAAGCGACACGGACTGCATCATTCTTTTCGTATTTCATGCGTAGATATACGTGCAGGTGTGTTCAGACATGTATAGTATTTTGGATGGAATAATAGTCAACATGTGGGGATGCTTTTCATTTTTTTTCCCCCGTCTGGTGCTCCCACGGTGCCAACCAGCAGCGGACGACGTAAAACAGCCAGCGCGCTTGACCGGTTTCGACGTACACACTTCTCCCACAGTGCTTCGCGCGCTCGCGGGTGCTCTGGGATCTCTGGAAAATGGTCTATTGTGGCAGCCTACGGCATAAACAAGACCAAGGAAATTTCTGCTCTGCAACTTGTTCTTCACATTGGCTAAAGCATTCCTTAGGTTTCATGTTGGTACATGCGCTATTTTGATATCTGTTGCTTCTGTATATCACACGGCATATCTGACTTCCGAACCACAACATTACTCGCGTCTAAATTTATGCATGTTTGTCTAGGCCACGATTTGAACTCTGCTTGAAGGCCATCTTGTTTTTTTATTTTAGGCTAGAACTGCCTTCAGCAAAAGCTTTCTGGGCTACTCATGCCTTTTATTTTTATTTTTATTATTATTATTATTATTATTATTATTATTGGTGATGCATCACCAAACGTCCTCAGCTGGACACTCATTGCTGGTAGCCCGTGTTACAACGGTAGCACTTGGGTAACTTCAGCTGAATTTCTCATTTCAGTTTCATACGATTGTGTAAATAAATCTGCAATTATTTTTCAGTGTCACATCCACAGAAGAGTACGTAAGCATACCTGGCAAGAGTCCCGGATGGGCTGGGAGACTCCCGGATGTTTTGTGTTAGCGACATTGGCTCAAGGAAATTCCTGAAGCTTCGTAGGTCAAGTCTTGGCCCCTTCAGAGAACAATGTTCTTTATTTTATTTATTTATTAGGAGCTACTTAAGACTTCCTAGACACCTTCAAAATCGTTTTGTTGATTGATCTGAGAATGTCAAGGTGGCGTCACTCACGAGTTCTGTTTTTGCTTCATTTTCTCACTAAATTTTAGTCTTGTGACAAGCCTGGAGATGGTATTATTAGTCTTGTGACAAGCCTGGAGATGGTATCATTTGCTAATACAAGAAAATTCTTATCTCTTTAGTGTCCCTAAAAGGCACAGGTATTATGCTGTGCCTAACATTTGGCTGGTCATACTTGCAGCAGTCCAACTTGTATCCAATTCAATCTGTATTAAAGTCAGAAACTAGCTTGATGACTTTTTTCAAGAAAAATATTCAAGGATCAAATTAATGTGGGGATGAAAAAACTTGAGCCAGTCGAAACTCCTTTAGCAGATGAGGACTTGGTAAAGGTGAAATCATTGTATGGCATTGTAGTGAGGTTTGGCACTTTTCAAAAGCCAGGAAGCATAAAATAATAGTATAATGAGGGAACTCAGGATAATTACCTTGCAAGTACAACAGGATACCTTGCATCTCTGATAATGCTTTGAAATTTCGTATATGTAAGGAACTAGTAGAGAAACAAGACTGGACATCTCTACTCTTAATTTTTCTGTTTATATGACTAAAGATCTCTAATGTTTGAGAAATGTATAAAAAAAATTTCTGCTTATGGCACTGCTCTGTATCATTGAAAGACCATGGACATGAACCCTTAAACCCCTTGAATTTAAGCCTTGGAAGCCTGCACAAATTTTGCGGGTGTTTTTCACACGCTTCAAACTTGCACTGTGCAGGCAGATTTCTACGTCCTTGAAAACTTGTCACTTTTTTTTCCTTGGAATGCTATGGTGAGATGTCATCTGCTTCTGGTTATTTTCGCTGCAAAGTAGAAAAGGCACAGAAGGTTCACGAAATGACGAAAGCACTAAATGGAGCCACCACAAAGCTATGCCACAAGTCAAGTAGTAGCAGTAGTAGAGAACCTTAGTGGTTCAAAATAGGATAAACGATTCTGGGGTCGGTTGTGGTCACTGTTTGAGAGCTCCAGCATTGTGGTTGATCTACTTATGGAAAACGTACTCGTATGCTGCATAAAATCACTGTCTCCTTACCTGTTCCAGATCACGCCTGCAAGGCCAAGGGAGCTGTCCGCACTTAGCAAGCGTCACAAGACTGTCACAAGGACCTATGGTGGCTCGCGCTGCGGAAAGTGTGTGAGGAATAGGTGAGCGGCAGTTGTTGTGATTAGACCCAAATAATTGTGTGGGTGAGGGCACATCGTTTTATCCTCCCCTCCCCCCTCCTTGAAAAAATATTGAAAGCAGTGTTGTCAAGCATTTTTTACTTAGCCATATTTGCCAATTCATAGTTGCTGTTCTGATATAAAAAGAGTTGGCTGTGGATTCAAAGCCATGTTCTGTAATCCTTTGCCTTTAGCAAAGCATTGCATATGTAACAGGTATTGCTGCATGTACAGTGCAGGACTAAATCAGAACTGCGACACTGGTGGGAAAATGAATTCACACTTTTTCACTTCTTTAAGGGGGACGTGTCTTTCAGAACAAACTTTCTTGTTTCTGGTTAGATCTTGATGAAAATAGGCACAGGGACTAAAAATGACCTCATAATGCTTCCATAAAAATTTCAAGATATCATGAAAACTTTCTGAGAAACAAATAATTTCATTACTGGACCTCGTGGAGCGGCTGGAGAGTTTAAAAAATGACAGAAAGTTGGTAAACACTGTGTGCAGAGGTGAATGTATGCTCTAGGGGGCTGCGTTTTCAAAATAATTTTTTTGCAACACTAAAATTTGTAGTTCATGTTTTCTCCACTGATACATCAATGAGCACATTTGCACTACAAACAAGAAACCCTACCAAAAATTTTTAAAAGGCGAAATCTTAACAATAAAAACGCAGCCCCCTGAAGCACAGTTCAAGGAGCATTACAAAAAACACAGAATCAAAATCTGTCAAGTAGTTGCGAAGATATCTGCTCCACGAGCTGAGCAACATGCCAAAAAAACAGTATTGAGAAAACGAGGTTCAAAGTCTTGAGTCACGGTTTACATGCCTAATAGGCACCAGGGTTGTAGTCCTTAGTGTCCTTTGCAGTGCGGTCCTTAGTGTCCGAATCGTGCTACTGGTGGTGCTGGTAGATGGCCTCGCATCCTCACGCGAAGTACTTGGCTGAGCATCCGCGATGTCTACATCCTCGCGCGAAGTGCTAGGCTTAGCATCCGCGGCGTCTACATCCTCGCGGGAAGTGCTTGGCTGGGCATCCGCGGCGTCTACATCCTCGCGCAAAGTGCTTGGCTGGGCATCCGCGATGAATACATCCTAACGCGAAGTGCTAGGCTTAGCATCCGCGATGTTTGCAGCCTGCGCGGAACGACGAACGGATGTTTCCTCAGACAGCACAAAGCACTGCTCCACAGGCATATGAACAGTTTCGTCGATGCTCGCGGACGATGCTCCGTGCGTGCTTGTTCTCGGCTGCGAGTCCTCGTCGTGCCGCACGCCGTCGTCGCTGCTCGCAGAAGTTGCCGGACTGAATTTCTTTTTCACGATCGGCGGCTTCGGCTTACGAGCACCAAATTGCTGCGCAGTCTTGCGTTTCTTCTTGAACGATCGCCGGTCCATGATCGCATGCGGGAACTGATCTCAAAACTGCAATGCGCCAAACTGGATAACAATGTTTTTCTCCTTTCACGAGCGCCGGTCTTATCGCAGCGCCATGCGATCTCGAAACCACGCCGCGACGAGTTGAAACCAAATGCAGTAAGCGGCCCGTCAGCGCGTAGAGCAGACGACCTTTGCGCTAATTGCTACAAGCGACCGCACGAAACCACGCCGCGACGAGTTGAAAACAAATGCAGTAAGCGGCCCATCAGCGCGTAGGGCAGACGACATTTGCGCCGATTGCTACAAGCGACCGCACGAAACCACGCCGCGAGGAGTTGAAAACAAATGCAGTAAGCGGCCCGTCAGCGCGTAGAGCAGTCGACATTTGCGCCGATTGCTACAAGCGACCGCACGGGCGACCAATGCGGAGCCGCCGTACAGTCACGTGAAGCGCGTCGCCAATCGGAAACTGTTGTGATACCTTTACACTTTGGCTTGCTGTGGGCTTGCTCTTGCCTGGTTCAGCCGGTCGAGGCGGCAAATTTGAAATGGAAGAATCGCGCTATCCATAGAGACAAAGATGGCGGTGCTAGGTTACGTGGTTGCGGAGATATCGCGGTTCGAAAAATGCCGTTTTTTCGTAATTTCCGTGAAATTCATCGCCACCCTAGCTTCGATAAAAATTTTTTACGTCATTTCTACGCTGTTTTCAGGGACGAAACTTCGAAATTAGATAGAAAAGGGGTCACAGAATGTGAAAATGAGATTTTCAGAAAATCGATTTTTTGGTCAAATTTCGCGATGCCAAAGCCGCGTCCCCCCCTTAAAGTGGTCAAATAGCTACAGCCACATTTGAAATGGCTCCGACGGCCTGTCAGTACAAACATGAGGCATTTTGGTGCTTGCACAAGTCTATATGAATTCGTTTGGTACCTGCAGGAAACCAGCCGATAGTTCCTAGTTCCTTCCTGACACCCCCTACTTAGTTCATGCTGTCACTTCTAGGGCACTTATATTGCCCGATTTGTGTTGTCATGGCCACTCATTTCCTGGCCACACACTGTCGAGTTGGTGGGAAGTTGTTTTCATTCCGAAAAGCAACGAATCTGTGTGGGGCACTTAGAGGTATTGTACAGTAAGGCAGCAATGAACGGCATCAGAGTATGTGTAGGTAGTTGGCGTGCAGTGCGCTTACAACTTCACTTGGCCCCACACTCTACCGATCAGTTAGTAGAAGGCACTTATAATAGTTCTCAATGATGGAATTGCTGGCATGGTTGCTGCTTTGTGCCATTATGCCTCCATGCATTTTTGATGCTTATTCGTGAAGGCATTGCAGTATGGAGCAGACACTGTGGCTTCTTTAATTACCGTATTTACTCGCGTAACGAATGCACTTTTTCTTTCTAAAGAACTGAATCAAATTTGAGGGTGCATTTATTATGTGGGGCAAACTTTATGAAAACTTTTTCAGTGTGAGCAGAAAAATGCACTAATTCTAAAAAAAAGTTAGATTGCTAAGTGTCTTTGTTGCACTTAACCCATTTTCGGTGGTTGAAGGAGCTATCTTCTGCAAGCTGTTGCCGCATTGCCCGTGCACGCCAAAAGAGTGTTTTGTGACTATCTTTTCTCGCAATTGTTTAACTGCAACAGAGGTATCTGCTGTGATCTCGAGGGGCACCCAGAAGCGTGGGCTACGACACCACTACACACTTTAACAACTTCATGGTAACCTCGCACGACGACCGCGAGGGCGCCATTGGCATTGTAGCAAGCAACTAACAATGTGGCCAACACCCCCAAAGCATCAAAACATCACGTCGATAACAAGATTAAGGACAAAATACGGCGGCCGCCTCACTTGCAACAGAAGCGAGAATTTGGGACTATGTTGGGGAAATAGTCACAATCTTCTCTGGGCAACAAGCGATTTCTTTCTGGTTTTCCAGAAACCTGCGACACGATGGCGACGAAGGGCCCCTTCGTAACAGCCAAAGCGACAACAAATGCTGTCGTCGCTCGAAAATTGCGTGCATGTGGTTGGGCCTTAAGGGGGCAGACTGGTCTTAGACATTTTTTTGTTTATTTCTTCAGTAAACGTGATTAAACTGCACAGGATTATGCAGTTTTTTCTGCTGGTTTCAAATATTTAATTAGTTTTCATGTAAGTCATCCTGTTCCTGAGATAACTTAAGTTCACCCCCTATTATTTAAGGCCGCCATAGAAATAAAGTGCTTAAGTGATATTTAAGATATGCCAACATAGACTAATGACTATAGAGTGAAAGTATTCAAGAGTTTTTTTTTGTTTTTCGGCCTTTTTTATGGTTATTTTACAGCAAAATGAACTATTCATTTGCAAAAGCAGTTAGAATTATATTACAATCTTGATGAGTAATTAATTAAAACTCCCATACTTGCATTCTACACACATACAGCTCCCATACTTGCATTCTACACACATACAGGTTTCCATTGCAAAAAGAATTATCATACCTGCCCTAGCTGCAGAGATATTGAGGCCTCAAAAGTGAACTGTCGTAAATTTACTTTTTTTGAGAACAATAAAAAAAACTGAAAACACACTGCTTTTTTAATAAGAAACAATCGTGGTGTGCATGTTTGCAATGTTCATAACGGTGCTCATAAATTCGTAGCAGAGCTTCTAACACAGGTGCCAGCCAATTATAAAGAAGCTTAGAAGTCTGTTCCCCATTTTTTGCAGGTTTTGCATGTTGACAGCACCAAGAATCTGGACAGTTAGAGTGACATTACAAAAAAATGACTAATTCCTAGTGTGTGTAAATTTGCAGAGAGATAGAAAAATATTTGCAGAAACCAAATATGTCAATTTTAAAATTGCATTTTTTTGTCACTTTTTGGTCCCAAAGTACAGTCTGCCCCCTTGAGTTTTGTTCACTGTAGACCACTTATAACCTAACCGCTTATAGTGCACAACCGCTTACAATGCGGTCTTTTTCTACTCTCATTTACTCTCCCATAGAACCTTATGTATATGCATACTGCTTATTGTGCAGTGCCCCAAGATCAAAGACTGGTTCTAGTGCGGTTGCCGAAAATTGTTTCTGACAAATGCGGTAACGAGTGCCCTTCTAAAAGGAGGCGCACAGGGTGCGCTGCTGGGGAGTGAACGAGGTCGTTACGGGGAAGGAGGGGACACGGAGTGAACGAACAAAGGGCGGAGGACAGAAAATAAGAAAATAAAAAAAGACTGTGGGACACTGCGCGGGCTCGTCGAGTAAGAGAAGAGGACGGTTGCCTTCGTTACCGATAAACCTTTACACCGGCGTCGATGCGGCTACAGCGTACGTCGCTAGCGTGACTTCGGCTGTGCGCCGCTGAACGGTGTGATCCCGTCTTCATCAACTGCATGTGCTCGAGTTTCCTGTCGGGAAAGACGTCATCGTTATCACGCTTTCAACAAATATCGCATTTGCTTCCTCGTTTGTAAATTGAAAACCTTTTACGGTTTTATAATGCGAGCGTTCACTTTTGCTGCCAGTGCACTGTTGTACGTAAGCTTGGCGAGTTGTCGTCGTTGCTGATCTCCCGGTCGCGAAGGCGAACTTTGTATGAC